GCAGAGAGTAGATCTATTTGGGATTTAAGAAGAGATATTACAAAAAGCAGGCATCTTTGACTAGTTTACTGGGATCTCTAGTAGAGATTTATTTTTCTGTTTTTAAAAATTTATTCTCTGAGAATAAATATACCTTGATAAGTGTAATAAAATAGCTCTGACAAGGAACTCACCCTAATATGAGTAATTAATAAAAAGAAACATTTTACCCAACTTTAGAAACTGTTCAGGGAGCAACTGCCCTGAATAAAGAGGGCATGAAAAGCCTTTTGTGTTCCTTTTTGTCCTGTATAACAAATTATTTTTCTTGCAAAGCCCCAAATTGCTTTCCCCTACACTGCCGCATTGCTGTGAACATGATTCCAGTACACTGTGGCTCTTCCAGGGATACTCCTGGTATCAATCTTGAGGCCTATTCAAACGAGGATGGGAGTCAGAGTTGAACTGTGCCAACATTCCTGCTGAGAATTAGCCCAGTTTCATTATGTGCGGAGGAGCCCCCAGTTCACTGCCCTTACATGTTTGGGGTACCCAGAGCTGAGAGGCTCTGCAGGGAGTGCAAAGTTAAGAAACTGCATGATAGGAACACTATCACTTACTCTTTCATAATGAGCTCTGTGCAGGGAAACTAAAAAAAGATGAGGTTTTTCTGTCATTCAGTGCGGCTGTGGTGTTCTACTTGTAACAAGCTACTTCTGCTTCACAAGGCAAGAAAAACACAAGAATGGTGGACAGACTCTCAGAATGAGCAGAGTCCCCAGGAGTCCCATCTGTCTTTTTTAACTCCTTCAATTAACTGGAGTACTAAGGGAGAGATTTGTTGCTTGGCCTGTGCCTTCATTCTACAGATGAAGAAACTGAGACCCAGGTGGAAGTGAAGTGGCTTTCCCGAACTGAAGATTCGTTAGAAGCTAGAGTTTGTAGTACCAGGTCTTCTGACTCCTGTGGGTCAATTGGGGCAGGAGGTATAAGACTCAATGTGGGCTTATAAATATATAAGCCTAAATATGGTTATAATTAGCCAGATTGTCAGCAGTGGGGCAGAAGGTATCACACGAGTGCATTGTAAAATCTTTTCTGCTTGGAAGAAAAGATGACAGCGAACTAAAACTTTGATCTCTGTGCCTTTATGTACCTTTATCCTATTTAATCTATATTACATCATATATAGGATTTGATTTCTCAAACTGTATATTTACCTGTTTTATTTTACAAATTGCCAATTTCATCAGAATAGGACTTGGTATCATCAGGATATCTCTATCAACTTGCCTTTTAACCACTTGGAAGACCTGTGCACCCTTGCAGCCTCCTTTATCTTGCCATGCACTCCCACCTTCTGGTCATGTCAGGAGGGGCAGTATCCCTCAGGAACCAAAGTGAAACTTTTCCATTTTAGAAGATTGGTCAATCCTAGGCCTTTGTTTTATGTGTAATTCATTCTTTCTTAGACTTTCTAATGCCACAGACTTTGACTTTAGAAACCTTTGGGTTATAACAAAGTACTGAGGAACTATAACTTAATCTGTTCAGATCTAATATTAAATGAGACCCAGATTTTTTCCCTAGTGAACTGCAAAGCCACGTTTATTGAACACCTACTAGGTTTACATGGGAGTCCTTTTAGCTGTGCATTCCTTATTGGTAAGGGAGTATGCCCAACAGTGCACCTGGCACATAGGAGAACTATGAATATGTGTTGAATGACGGGCATTGATGAAAGCCAAGGTTGTTTAGAAGTGTCCCGTCCTGTCCTGAGGCCATTCCAGATGGAAGTGGTTCTCCCATAGCCTAACACATCCCATTCTGTCTTGAACTACAACTCGACTTTCTTCCAAACATGAAGGGGAAAGGTATTATTCGTCTGAGATTTGCCTTGTGGTGTTTAGCACAAATTTGGTTTCTGAGGAAAGGCTGGTAAAGCATTGATGCAGGGAAAATTATTCTTAGGTATTCTTCTCTGATGATCATAGACTGAGTGAAACTTTTATATAGTTACTGTAGCCATGAATATAATCACTGGCCGACATTTCTAGTGGCAAAAAATAACCTCTAGAATGGTCTGATGAATATCAGGGAGTAGGGCTAACAGAAATATAATGCCAGCTGGGCCAGCAGTGTCTGCCAACCCCAAATATTTATTTGGCATCTTACTATGTGTAAAACTCATGATTTTTCCTTGCTTGTGCTTGTTTCTTGAATGTAAACCTGAAGGCAGAATCTATGTTCTGTTTTGTAACTGATGATTTATGAACATTATTTGTGTCTTCAAGAGGTCATATTCCTACCTACTTTGAAATCAGCTTTGAGTGCAGGAATAAGATTTTGATGGTATGTGGTACACATTAGTGCTCAGTAAATGTAGAAAAGAGAACAGAAAAATGACAGAATGCTGGGAGGAAGGAAGGGAAGGAGAGGGAGTAATCCCAAGCCTGGTCCCTGGCGTCAGCCTGCAGATAGTCCAACAGGTTCTGTCATGAACCAGCTGGGGAGCCTGGTGACATTCACTAACTTCTAACTCAAGTTTACTCATCTCTAAAATGAGATAAAACCTGCTTTGTAGGGTTTTTGAGAGGCTTGTGACGTAATGCTTGTAAATATCTAACATCGACTACTCAATAAATATTAGTTTAATTTAATGAATAATATGTTTGTGAATTCCAGTAATTATCTTGCTGAGAAAGCAGTTACCTGTTTATCTTCCTGGAGTTTAAAATGAGTCCACATCAGTTAATTTGGATTCCCCAGAGCGGAGCGAGCAAGCACACTGACATTCTCAGAAGAGCAGACAGTCACAGACGACAGTATCCTCAGGGAACACCCCTCCCTGAGTGCTGGTGTTAAGTCAGAGGATTGCTGTTTCCCCAACTGCCCTTCACTGTGAGTTCTCCCTCTCACCAGTCATAATTTTCACCATTCCCAGAACAGAGGGCCAGATTCTCCTTCCCTTTGTGTCTATTTTCTTCTCAGAGGAGCATCTCTGTGTGAGAACGGGGCCTTTACTGAGCCCAGGTCTTCCTGAGACCTTTGCCTGGAAGTGGAAGAGACACAAACTGGCAAGGGAAAGGCAATCTGGTAGGTTGGCCACAGCTCATCCATCAAACTTCAGGGCCAGGTGTTAGCATTTTCCAACACCTTGATAAGTAATGTTTTCAGCAAATCAAGAAACTCTAGTTCTGCCTCTTTCAGAGACATCACTTTTTCCCTTTTCTCAGGATGGGGATACATTTTCAAAATCTTTTTTACAAGGAGGCAGAGTTACAGCTAATGAGTGATATTGGAGACTGAGGGGAAGTTGGAGTTTCCCCAGTGTTTTTCTGAAGGAGTTAACGGCATAGGCAGTTTGGGAGATCTAGGGGAGACCTGCTTTGGAAGGTCCAGCCATCTCCTTAACATCACCCCCATTTCTTTCCATTGAACATGGAAGAAAAGGGGAGGCCCTGGCTTCTCACACTTGCTCATGGTTAGCATGTCTGCACACTTACTGTGTGCCAGGCTGGGTTCTAAGTGCCATATATGGTACACTACTTAATCCTCAAAATAGAATTATAAAGTACATAGTATTTTTATCCCCCCCTACAGAGGAGGATCCAAGGCTCAGAGATAGTAAATAAATTTCCGAGGCTCAAACAGTTATTAAGTGATAGAACTGGTTAAAAACAAACAAAAAAAGAATCCGGGCAGCCTGGCTCCAGAGCCTTTTCTCCTACCCAGGGTTCTCCGCTGTCTGCAAAGTCATTAGTCCCACTGGAGGATATCAACAAGGGACTGCAGGAATTGAAAGTAAATGTAGCGTTTCTCTTCCCCAGGCTTTTAAAATATTTAATTTTTAGGTAAATTTCAGGAACAAGTAGCAATTTTTCATCTCAACAAGACCAAATTGCCTCTATGGGCTATATGGTGGCTCTGCTCTCCTTTTTCCGTAAAGTGGCGTATGCTCTCCAGTAGAGTCGCACCCTGTTGCAGGTTAGATTCCCAGGGAGCATTCACAGAGTTGTACTTTAGCTTGCAGGATTTTACTAGGGATCCCTGCTGAAGGGGAGTGGCCATGGGGAAGTGGAACTGCAACGCAGGCCTGACACAGCCTCTGCCAGTCACGTGGGTCATCATGGAGTATATACTGCCCCTCAGAGCCCAGTCCTGTGCTAGGCTGAAAGGGTAGGACCTTTATACAAACCCTGCCACCACCAGTGGGTGGATATGGGCCACTTGGAAGAGGGCATCTCCTTGGGCAAGGGAGCCCTTTTCAGCTGAGGTGGACCCAAAGGAGGTGACAGCACTCCCCATCACTGAGGTAGAGTTGTGCCTTGAGCAGGGGCTCTAAGTAGTGGATCTTTGTTTCCATAGTGAGACTTTCATTTGCGTTGTCAATGTGAATGTACTCATTGGCAAGTGCTTTCTCCTAACTCAGCCTCTTGTTTTGTTGGATTCAAGATAAATGGCATTTACAAGATTGCACAAAAAGAGACAGATTCTCAACTGTCTGGTATCCTTTTACTGTAGCGCTAGGCAGAGGCAGAGGTATAATATTGATAGTCTCTTTGGAGCATGTAATAAAAATCATGCCTGGCATTTTGGGAGATACATGAACAATTTGTTTTACCCTCATGATATCTTTAAAGTGGCACCAGTTGACATTTTTCTGGAGCCGGAGTCCAAAGCTAAAGGCCACAATACAGTGATGGAAATCTCCGGTTACATTTTGCTTGCCAGTTGTCTTTAGAGAAATCTTTCAGTGATGAAGATTCCAGATTTAACTCCCTTTTCCTTACTCCTTCCATCATGAAACTAAAGCTATCTTCCAGTTCACTCCAGCATGGACATTAAACTGTACCCCACTAACTTATGTCTTGTACACCCAAGTTGATGACAACAGCTGGGTTGGTTTGCCTTTTAGTATTTGTTACTGTTGCATCCCAATGTTACCCTGAGCTGGCATTGACCAGTGACTGTCTCAGCTGCAGGGTGTGCAAAACCTGTCTCCATTTCCCTTCTTTCAGGTTGGAAAGCTTATCCAAGAAGCAGCTGGAAGAAGTAATTTGAAGAGAGTAACTCTGGAACTTGGAGGCAAAAGTCCTAATATTATTTTTGCTGATGCTGATTGTAAGTCAACGACAGGTCCCACACATGAACCAGCACACACCCTTTGGTACTCTCTTTTGTATCTCCACTTTTTATAGGACACTAGCAAAAGATCTTTGAAGCTAAGGGCAATTAAGAAGATCTCTAAAGAGAAAACAGTTTGATAATGGGGAAAAAGCACTTTTCAGTTGACGACTGAACCGTTTGTTTTCTAGACACTAATGAGCCATTTTGAATCTGTGATGTTGTAGAATGGGGGATGAGATGAAGGCTTGGTCAGTGACATATGGTTAAACAGCAACGGTCTCAGCTGCTGAGCACCCGAAGGATAGTCTCTCTGCCTGGATACAATAAATCTGTAACTTTTCAACTGTGCCTGGTGGCTGGTAGACCATTATAAATAAATCCAACTTCATCAGCCCTGGCAGCATTTTCTAAATCCACAGTCCCTTTTCTGTTTAGTCAATTCCAACCCCTTTCTGCTACTCCCATGACTTTCAGTCAGGATGACAGCACACGTGGGTCAGTTCGGTATGTGTAGTCCTAAAGCTGGGATGATTCCACCTTGCCAGTAGGACCTTCCAGAGGCTTAGAGCAGTAACTGAGAAACCTCATGTCTCTAGGAAGGATGCCACCTAGGCCATTCTGCACAGGTGTGACCTTTCTGTTTTGAAAAGCTCTCCGGGTAAGGAAATCCCAACATCTCATTCAGTGATTCTTTTTTTTTTTTCTTTACATTTTGCCAGGCAGAGCTGCTTTCCCAGTTTCACCACCAGAGAGAGCAGAAAACCGAAAGCAGATTGCTTGAATTTCAACCCCAGTTTGGAATTTGCAGAGTTCAGCTTTAGCTCTATGTTAGTTGTCAAGAAAATCAGAATCCTTATGCCTATTCCTCTTGAGGAGTAGGAACCCCATCGCCCTCACATTGACTGATTCATTTATTCAGTCAGTCGGTCATTTAGCAACTAATGCCTGTCAGATTAAGCTATTTTGAAGTGTAAGATCGAAAGGATGAATATGGAAGAGTTTTCATACGATTTTACACAAGTCCATGTCAATCTAGAGGCAATTTACTGTCTTCAGAGAAGATCCATTGGTGTTACAGTTTAATCCCCCAAATACCAAACATACCGCTACAAGGCCCTGTACATTAGGAGTTGTAAATTGGCCAGATACAAAATATAGACATGTTTACCTGTATAAACATTACACTATGTTCAAAACAAAAACTGCATATTAAAATATTGATTTCTGTGAAAATTGAGAAGATCTGACAACCTGGGGCTCATATTTATGCATGGCAATGATTAAATGTAGTGACTTTCCTTCTTAGCCTCTCCATTACATTGCTCCATTACCACCTGGTAGCCTCATACCTTTACCTTGTCTGCCTAGCCCTGTGGTGTATTGGGGATTGAGACTCCTGTTATACCTGAGGTTCAGTCCCTCTATTTGCAGAATAAGAAAGAGACCCAAAGAAGTGAAGTCGTTCAAGTTCACATAGCATGTCAGGGTGTAGTTAGAACTGGAACTAAGTTGCATTCCCAATTCAGTACTATTCATGGTTATGTCCTGCAGTGAGCACACTATACCTGGGGCTTTGGAGAGGGGAGGGAGGTGGCTCCATAGACAAGCAGTGGCAACATGGCTGTTTCCTCTTGTAGTGGACTATGCTGTGGAGCAGGCCCACCAGGGTGTGTTCTTCAATCAAGGCCAGTGCTGCACTGCAGGCTCTCGCATCTTCGTGGAGGAGTCCATCTATGAGGAGTTTGTGAGAAGAAGCGTGGAGCGGGCCAAGAGGCGCATAGTGGGGAGTCCCTTTGACCCCACCACTGAGCAGGGTCCCCAGGTAGAAAAATCATAACCATTCCCTTGGTTTACTTAATTCTTGGCTGGCACAGAACTGTGTGCACTCTAGTAGGACCCAGCAAAGCAACATCTTTCTTTTCAGCTGCCTCCTTTATTCCCCACCATGTCTTCATGGCTGGAAATGTAGCCAGAGAGGGATTGCTTATTTCTTAGGCTTCTCTTTCCCTTTCTAAGTTGTATCTCTGAAAAACTATGGCGTTACTGTTACTTTAAGAATATTCTGACCTTTGGGACTAAGCTGGAGTCTCTCAGTTCTAAAGAAAGCCCTGAGTTATGACAAGATGGGTCTCGACACTAGAACCCAGTCCCAGTCCTTCCAATCACTGAACTTTAGGACATCCCTACAGATGCCACAGTCAAGGTGGGTAGATATCTTTCTTTCCTAGAGCCATCTATCCTTTTATAAGCTGCCAAGGAGTCTGTCCAGCAGCCTGAACCAGTCTGGACATATCACTTGTAGCTTGTGAATGTGTAGGAAATGAAGGGCTGGCTCACTTCCCTTTTGCTGTATGGTTATTTCTTAATCTGAATGCCTTGTGTACTGTAGTGGGGTGGGGAGGGCCACAAAGTCTCTCCTGAGCAGCCAGACTACACTTTTCACCTCTGCAGGTTCGCCGTAATCATCAAGGCATATTTCTAAAGGGAATTCTGGTCTTAATCTGTAGACAGGTTCTGAGACTTTTTAGAAGGAACTCGGACCAGCTCCTATATGGGTCACTAAAGCATGGGTTTTCCTGTTAAGGGACAATATCTCCTCAGTTTAGGGACTATTCAAGAGAAGATTGATGTTCTGGCTGAGCCATTCAAACTTGGGTGAATGTAGGTTTTTGTATTATTTACCTCTGTCAGTTTTTGGGGGGAAGGCTGACCTTATTTTTTTTGGACTAGGAAACTAGTCCTTCACTCTTTACTGTTAATATTTTTCTCTAAAGTTCCTCTAAAAATGTAATAGGAATTCCTTTAAAAACAAACCACAATAAGATTGGGTGTGTAGCACTATCTAAAGAGGCTGTGTGCTAATTTTTGCCTCTTTTTTACTATCAGTACAACTTGCTAACTTACTCAATTATAAAGGTCAGTTTTCCCTCATATGAACAATGAATAGTAAATTAGCCAGTGTCTCCATCATTTTGAAACATTTTTCTAAATGTTCAGCTGGTACTTCTGATTAGGCAATATCATCAGAGCAGTGCATTTATTGGAATCATTGATATATTAGGATTAACCATACAAAATTGCCAATTTTTTGTAGGTCAAAAATTGGTAAGTGACAGCAGGTTTAGATTTGACTGGGTGTAAACTTTGAAAAAATCATGTCTCCCACAGATTGATAAGAAACAGTACAACAAGATCTTGGAACTCATCCAGAGTGGTGTGGCTGAGGGCGCCAAACTGGAATGTGGAGGCAAAGGACTGGGCCGAAAGGGGTTTTTCATTGAGCCCACGGTGTTTTCAAATGTCACTGATGATATGCGGATTGCCAAGGAGGAGGTATCAAATATGCTGTTCTCACAAAAGCCACATCTTTCTTGGGATCGTTTCTAGAGCATTTCTAGTGGATGATAATAGAGTTTTAGCTCTTTATATTTTACATATATTCATTTTGCAATAGTAATGAACATGGCTATGAAAATTCCAGTTTCAAGAAGAAAAGTAAACCAAAAGACAAGCAAGCTAGGTGGAGGCCAGGTGACATGCTGTGTGCTTGTGATGATTATTAGCCAACGGAACAATCAGAATATCCTACCAATGACCTCAACAACACACTGGCACCAGTTCAGTTCTCCTAAATATGAGTCACTAGGATGTTAACCAGGAGAGAGAATACACTGAAGCATCTTCAAATCTGTGCAAGAGAAGGACCAGGAGCAAGTCAGCCCACAGTCCAGAGCATTCAGTTCTGGAGCAGTGTTTGCAGCATCATGGAGGATGCCACTTTCTCTTCTGTACCTAAAGAAGACACCCCTAGTATACAGAGTGGAATCAAGTGATGCCGGAGAGGTTGGGGAATTTGGGGATGTTAAACAAACACTAATGTTAGACTCTTCTTGCATCATCTTATCCTAGGAAAGGTTGGGAGATTTTACAGTTTTGTACTGCTAAACTTAAATGTTATTTAAGTAATCAAGGCAGAGTAAACGTGCATTGAAATGTGGAAAGCAGGTAAAAGAATGACAGAGCACCCATGTTGAGTCATACTATCTTTTTGCAGATCTTTGGCCCTGTTCAGGAAATTTTGAGATTTAAGACGATGGATGAAGTTATTGAAAGAGCCAATAACTCAGACTTCGGACTCGTAGCAGCCGTCTTTACTAATGACATCAACAAGGCCCTCACAGTATCTTCTGCAATGCAAGCTGGGACTGTTTGGTAAGATCAGAGTCAGTCTTGTAACAAATTCCACTGGTGGTATAGGGACCAGGGGGAAATAAACAGGTATCTTCTTGGAAGGATGGGGAATACCAAAAGCAATCAAACTTCACCAAAAAAGGTGTACACTCTGTACTGCTTAGATCCAGAAATCAAAGTAGATTTTAAATTACAAACTTTTCCTCTGGAGGAAAGGAATTTAAAAATCAAACTTGTAAAAGAAATGCCGTGCCACTCAGATTATTTCTGTGTGGTCAGACTTTACATGAACTCACAGTACTATGTTTTCTTCTTTCAGGATCAATTGCTACAATGCCTTAAATGCCCAGAGCCCCTTTGGGGGATTCAAGATGTCTGGAAATGGGAGAGAAATGTAAGTCTCAAAGTTGCTGATGCCTGCAGAGAAATAGATTGCAAATATCAGCACAGAGCAGTACTTTAAAAATAGTTTAATTGTCTTACACTGATCCATTCATTCAACAAACATTTCGTTGAGCACATGGTACTAAAAGCTAAGTACTACTACATGTTGCAGAGATGAATAACACACAATTCCCTTTCCCAAAGTGAGAACAGAAAAAATTACTGTACTATTAATTCCCTGTAATAAAGGCTATGATAGAAGTATGTTAAACATTTTGTCAGTACAGAGAAAAATTTTTGACTGGTGAGGTCAGAGAAGACTTCACAAAGGAAGTGACATTTTTTTCCTGGAAGTAACATCCAGGAAAAAAACCCACTTTCCCTCCTTTTGAAAGAAACTGATCTATATTTTCCAAATCCTGTGATTCACAGAGGAAACGTGTTTCATGCCCATTCCCTCAGCCATTACTGAATGCATATTCTTTTGAGCAAATGCCTAGTTCACAATTAACAAGTATTGAGCATAAACTATGTACAAAGCACTGCACTTGGTCTGTGGAGGAAGATGCAGGCCCTTAAGGCATTTAATATGTTTTGGGGTAAATAAAACTAATAACATTGAAAGAATCAGAGGAATCGCAGAGAAGACTGAAAAGCAATGGAGGAGCTCAGGGATAGGGAAGATCATTGTGAGCTGGAGAAATCTGGGAAACCTTTAGATGTGATCTGCTACAGGGGTTTGAATTAGCCTTTCAAGAAGAGGAATGCTTGGATCGAGAAGGGGGAATGTATTTTCAAGGTTGGTGGGCAAAGCAGGGTAGCAGTAGGGGAGAGTGAATAAAGGTATTGTGGGAAAAACAACTGTGGTGTTGGTGGGAGAAATGCAGTGAACCAACAAGACGAGAGCGGAGGATTTACATACTGCAGATAGTTTCACTGGTAATCTCAAGCTCCCAAGCACCGAACTATAAAGTAGGTATAGCTTGGAGATTAGAGCAGTTTCTAGAATCACACTGCTCGGATTTGAATCCTGCCTATATTACTACCTGTACAAGCTTGGACAAATTCCTTAATCTAAGCCTCAGTTACCTCATCTATAAGATGGGAATAATTATAGTACCTACCTCAGGGTTGCTGTGAGGATTGAGTGTAAGGGTTAAGTATGCAAACATCCAACAGAATGTCTGACAAGCCTTCAGAAAATGTTAGCTGCACTCATAACATTATTCATCAAGCAGATTCATGTTATATAGGTGATCCCTCTTTTTCTTAACCTGTAACTTTGGCAGAAGTTTCCCTAAATCTCAGCTGGTGTCACCGACTTCTGTTCTGTATCTGGTAACGCCAGGGAGAAGCTGTTCTCACTTGAACCTTTTCTTCTGGCCTCCAGTACCCCTCACTTACTTTACAGCTAGAACCTATAGACAGTCTGGATCGGATTCGTTCAGTTCTTAGTATTCCTTCAGCTTTTACAGAGTCTTCTTGTACTCCAGGTATCTCTTCATTTGCTTTTGACCTTAACTGTCTGCTTCCACTTTTCAAGATGCATTCCGCTTCTTATTTCATTTCCTTCCTCTATGTCTGTGCTCTCCCAGTCTCTGAAATGCTGGGGGAAGTCACTGGCTCTGGGAATGCTGCTTGCATTGACTGTTTTGTTACAGATCATTAACAGGGTGAATCATGAGCATAAACTATACTTTCAATAAATGATCGCTGGTTGATGGAGCCTAATCCCAGGTTAAGCCGTGGTCCCTCATCATGGGCAGGCTTGTGACATTAGCTGAGTCTAGTCTATTCCCATCAGAAATGTTCTCCTTGCCCAGAAAGATGGTCCAGGAGACAGTTTGGCTGTATCTGAACCTCACATAACAGTGCCCAAGAGACTGAAGAACCGTTTCTCTCTACTTGTCTTGCAGGCACTGTGGTGATTGTACCTTCCCAGTGGAGTTAAAAAATAATTAGGAAATGCTGTTCTTTGATGAGACCCACTTCATCTTGTCTAGATTGCATGGTTTTGTGTTTGGTTTGGTTTGGGTTTTGGCCTCTACCTTCCCCCAAAACATGTTTTCTCTTTCTTAAATGACGCAGAGTGACAGAAAATGCTTTCTTGGTCCCCAGCTCTTCCACCTCATTTGATATAGCCTCAGAAACTCCACTTAACCCTCCATCTAGACAGAATTGTTCATCTCATGGCCTGCAAACTCCATGCAGCGTTGGTCCCTGACAGCTCCCTGTCTATCCCTAAGAGGAGCAGAGACGTGAAGTGGCACTTCCAGAAACATCTGGAAACTCCAGGGAGGGCTGACCTAGCCAATGAGGTCTCCCCACAGAGAGCTGTGGGGAGGGCTGCCCTCTGTAGGTTATCTGATGGGCTGCCCTCTTAATTCCCAGGCTCAGAGACAAGCTTTTCTCAGGTCCTCCTGCCCACTGAATTCCACCTGTTTGACTTCTCCTGTCCTTTTACTTACTTCCTCATCAAACTCCCCTGAGATAAGGGGTGGCAAAGCACAAGTCATAAAATGTCACAAACTGAGGAGATGGAAAGAATGCTGTGAACCTCAGCATTTTAAAAACTCAGGACACTGACTTTGAAAATGAGAAGCATTGTTAGATAATCTAAATCAGGGCTTGTCAAGTTTGTGTGTGTGTGCATGCATGTGCACGCATGCATACAGAGAAGTCACCTCCAGTCTGGGTGATGGTTTTGTTAAGCATGTGTATCTAGGGACCCACTCTCAGAGATTCTGAGTTAGGTGATCTGCGATAGGACCCAGGACCTGCGTTTTTAACAATCTTCCAGAATGACTCCAGTATAGATCACTGCCCAGGACCCACAGAGAAGCACTTCCATTCCAGCAGCGTTTGCCATTGCATCACGCACCCAAACACTGGGATCCACCAGTCATCCTTGGAAGCAACCTGCCTTCTGGTGACCCGCTTCCACCCTCCCTCTCAGTCCCCATCACCTGCAAGCTCCTCTGATGCAGGTGGTCTGGAGATGTTACTCTGAGAAGTGCTGCTGCAAGTCAAGTTAAACAGCAGGAAAATATATACCCTAAACAGAAACTCTTACTTGTTTTATGAGTGAGTATGAGTGATTCCTAAAATGGCTGGCCAAGAGCTACCAATACTGACAGGTTACCTTAAAGCCTCTAGGCATGCCAAGTTTGATTTTTCTTAGGGACTAGAACCTAGTCTGCTGAGGAGCAGGAGTATAGGCTTCTAAATGTGATTGTGCCTTGCTGTATCTTCCTGCTGTGAAAGTGACCATGCAGAGAGATTGGGCTGCATCAGTGGTGATATGCATATCTTTTATGCATCAGTGGGCTTCTTCCCTGTTAACTGTATGTGCCACAAAATTTAACTAGAGTAAATAAATTTGAGACAGAAATTCTGGAACAAAATGGTGAAATTGCTTAAGAATCCAAACTTCAGGGCTTAGTGACCTTTAAGCATTGTTTCCCAAAGTGTGACCCAAATGACCATCTATCTCACAGTCTCCTGGTGCCTCCCTAGAGCTTCTGAAACTGAATCTTTGTGGGGTAGAGGTAGCATTCTAGAATCAACAGTTGAAGCAAGCTCTTTGGGTGATATGTATGCTGAGGTTCAGGAACTGACTGGAGAGATGACTGTGCACCAAGAGGATGGCAGTGACTCAGCTGGCATCTCTTAGCTGGTTCATGGCAAAGTTGAGTGGGCACTCCTGTCTCTGACCCCAGGTTCAGTGCTCTTTGTCTTCTCCATGCCTTCTCAGTTGTGCCACTAAGACCTCTTACTGGCTTTCCTTCATGTCCTGGGCCCAGGGCAGTTCTTTTCATAGCAGATTTGAGTCCACTTCCCCCGTGCACAGATTGCTGCTCCGGACCCAGAGAGGAGCACCTCTGCTCCAGCAGGGTTTTCCATTGCATCACACACCCAAACAGTAGGATCCAACAGTCACACTTGAAAGCAACCATAATCGCGAGGTTTCTGACTCTGTAGACTTCCTTACGTTTCTCACAACCTAGTTAGAGAGTCACATGGGAGTGAAGTGTGGCTTGGGACCTGCCCCAACAAGTGCGTGCAAAAGCCAGGAAACAAGGGAGTAAATTCACTTCAAATGGGATGCACATGGTGTCCGTGATGAAGAGACACATTCAGAATTGCCCAAGGACAGGAAAATGACCAGAGAGAGCCAGAGCTGAGCTGGTAATGAAGAGACTCCGGGCCTGGATGGAGTTAATGAGGGAAGCATGCAATGAGTGGGGCAATTTCAGTGGATTTCTCTCATTCCTCTAAGCAAAATGAACTATACCGACAAGAGAACAGCCTGCTTGCCCCAGTCCCTCCTTGGCTGCCCTCTGTTGTCCCTGTCAACTCAGGTGCCCATGGTGCTCAGAGGAGCTGCTGGCAAAGCCACTGGAGCCTTGTGTAGGCCATGGGGGCTCCTAAAAGGAACCCAGATGAATCACTTACAGCAGGTCTCTCTTGTAAAGCCCAGCCACAGTAACTCATACACTGACTTTCAAAAGACAGCCTTTCTTAATCATTTAATCCTTTCATATTCAAATATATCTCCTAAGTGTTCTTTTATTTTTTCCTGATCTAGAAGATATGACGAACATATGACAGCAGGGTAGAACTAGGGAAGGGGGAGTAGGAAGCCTGTCCTTCCTCCTTCCCTCTCCACTTCCCTCCCTTCGTCATCAGGTACCTTCTTTGTGCCTGCTGTTGTAGGCTATACCCTATGTTTGGTGGAAGGCAAAAAGAAAAATCAGTAGGATACAGCTCAGCAGGGAAGACAGAGATATTCAAGCCCTTTGTCCTCCCAGTGTGTAAGTGTGGTGGCTGAGGTGTAAACAAGGGGCTCTGTGAACAGAGAGGACTAAAGAGGAGCTCCTCCTGAGGCTGTTGGGAAAAGCATCACCGAAGAGTGATTTTCAAAAGAATAGAAGAAAAAAAGTTGTTATTTTAAAGAAAAATAGGAGAACATGCTTGATTTATATAATGAAATGGAAAAAAAGGCATTTAAACAAGGCGAAAAGAACAAGAGAATAGAGAAGATATGTGGAGAAGGAGCATTGTAGTAAACACCCAGAGGGACAGGAACACTTAGACATGTGACCCGCTCCCACCCTCCCTCTTGGGGGAGGAAAGCACACTAGTGTCCCAAAGAGCTAATACTGAACCAGTGCTGCCTTGTAGAGAGAAGCATGGCCAGGGCGTTCAGAGACCTGGGCCTGGTCCCACTGCTGCCCACAGCACTCAGCCTCTCAGCACAGCCTGGGGTCGTTTGTGTGCCCTCTGGCCAAGGCTGACAGTAGGTCTCTGAGTAGTTGAGAGTCATTGCCTTTCTGTGCAGTATTGTGAAAACAAATCACATTTTAACTTTAAAAACTACTCATGAGATGACAGTTTCTCTGACCCTCAAAGGAAGGCTGGGCTGCCCATACATGAGGAATTTTTACATGAATACCCCAGGACTTGCTGTTCGCAGGTGATAAACTGTGCCTCCTCGGGACTCCCGCTGCACTCACATGCAGCTCCCTGGACTTCTGGTATCTGACCCAGCCCATTTCTGTGTTTCAGGGGAGAATTCGGCTTGCGGGAGTACTCAGAAGTTAAGACTGTGACAGTAAAGATTCCCCAGAAGAACTCCTAAGAAGGCCAAGAAGGAAGATGAAGCCCAGCCTGCACGTCTCTCCCTCTCTGCTTTCTCTGTAGGGCCCAGCTCTCAGGAATACACAGCTGAGCCACGGTCCTTATTTAAAGATTGAAAAGATAACATGTAGGCCAGGCAGGTCACTGCACAACTAAAGCAAACCAGCCGGGCACAGTTTTTTGGCACTCTGTAAGGGGCCACCTTAATCATACCAAATATTGGGGAAAGTGGGATAAAAGGAAGAGGAGGAGCTAGCAGATACTTCCGGTATGTCTTTCTGGAGCACAGGATGAAATAAGGGAGCTGTATTATTTCATGCCTTTGTCACAAAGAACTTTCCTCTTAAGGAAAGGTGACCTTTCTACTGTCTTCATTTTCCTCCTTTCAGGCCCTCTTCACTCACCCACCCCCCGCTCTCTTCCAAGGAGATCTCAGCTGAGCTCATTTTGGGGCAGATGTTTGGGCCGGGAACAATTTTCCAAGGTTTTAAAGCCAAATTACCATTTCATGTTATCCGTTTCTTCAAAGCAAAACATGAAATGGTTTTAGCTAGAGTCAGACCAGAATGAAAATGCCAGGAGCTGGTACACTACAGATGTAATAAGAACCTGGGATATTCCTGACCCAGTCTGGTTTTCTTTTACGCATAAATAACATGAATGAAAAAAGATTGGGACAATAGAGATTGGAAGTCATCATGTGCAGTTCACAGCTTCTGAGTTTGCTGCACAGTTTTGGGGTGTCTGTGTGTGTGTGTGTGTGTGTATGTGTGCATGTATTAGATTCCTTCCTTCTCAGTTATTCTGGAATAAGGCAAGGGGTGCATTGTTTTTCATAGCTAGATAAGATCTTTTCCAAAGTTTTTCTTAGAACCAACCAAAAAACAATCCGAGTAGGCCCAAGAATTTGATAATGCTGGATGCCTTGCAGATATCATTCAGTTTCTAATATTGGGCAACAATTACTATTAAATGAATTATTTCTGTAGTTGGAATCTGTAGCTTCTTCTGAACCTCTACACCAATACCTGCTATTCCAGTGCTGCAGGTGTGATTTTAGTCTGTCATACTGTACCAATGTGCCCTACATCTATTGGCAGTGACCTTGGAAAATCTGGCCAAGCCTAGAAGTTTCCTTTTCCATTTGCCGAGTTCCATTGTGCTAGGACTGCTGTGCTCCACCGAGCTCCTCTGTCACACCCAGGGGCTCATCCACATACCATTCTTGCACCTCACTGAGCAGGCCGTGGCCTGCAGTGTGGGGGGAGCAAAGCAGGCTCACCTCCCTTTCTTCCCAACCACATACTCCTCTTCTGCTTTCCAGTGACTCCACCAGTTTGATGTGGGAAGTTAGCTTCCTTTCCTTCTATCTTTCCAGCTGTCAAATCCAATCCAGTCTGTAACCTAGATACAGATCATTTATTTAAAAGTACCAAACATAACCTAGAGTATGTGGAATATGGGCAACTATGTATAGCCGCCTGTATTTAACGATTTTCTGCTTCCTAACCGTACCAGTTTTCTATTTATAACTCTTATCTATCCATGATGTTTTAAAGTCTCCACTTGCTGTTATTTACAAATGACAGTGCATTCAGCAGCCCGATGCCGTGAGCCCTGACAGATGCCATATTTCTGAGTGCTTCCATGTGAATGCCACCCTCCTCCTGTAGCATGTGTCCAAGTGGACATAGCCACTAACCAACTAGTTACCTTTGGACTGCAATATAAAATGTGAAAATGAAGATTTATTTCTTTTAATTTACTTAAAAAGAAACCTCCATGCTAGCAATAAAGCATTTATATTGTGTACTCCTTGGGATTGTTTGGCTGTGTTTGTAAGTCTTTGTGTCATATACTGAGTCTGTTTGGGTCCTTCCCTCAGCTGCTGGGTTTTTCATCTGTGTTACTCTCTTGGGTAACTGAGCAGAAGCCCATAAGGGTATTTTTACACAATTCATTAAGGTAAACAGTATTCAGGTAAACAAAAACCTTATTTTCCAATACTGTTTAAAATCTGTGTGCACGTGCAGTTTGGCTGGCATGTAAGTATAACCATGTATGAAATGTATGAAATAACAAGTTTCCTTTAGAATAGTCTCCATGAAAACAAATGCAGAGGAGTCTATAGGGTCTGTTTTCACAAATGTGGACTTCATACCGCGAGCTCACATTGCTGATGGCATTTCACAGTAGCTTTATTTTTATTTACCAAAGTGAAATGAAGTCAAAGGCTGATAACCTGATGAAGTATTTTTGCAGCTGTAAAAAGAAATCTGTAAGTGGTGACTGTACTACTACCAAGATTGAGCTTGTTTTCTCTCAGTGTGTTCTCAGAGTTGAGCTTTTGAGGAGAGGTTCCAACCCTTTAGAACCGCACATCTCCCCACCTTTCCTTCCAACCTTTGGAATCTCCACCCAAGTTCCGATCAAGTGAGACAAAAGGTAAACCTAATGTCTTAGCCCCAGAACAGATCTCGCTTGGGTGATGAGAAGCATTGCTGTGGACTGGGGTTCACTGCTCTGTTTGCCAGTAGCTTACCTTTCAGAGAAACAGATGGAGCATGGGAAAATGCAGCCCCTGCGACACTAGATGGAACTCTGAAATACAAGATGCGGGACTCCCTGAGACTCCACCTCATGTCCTGTCCATTGAGCCATGAGGAAGAAAATGAGAAAGGCCTGGACATGAAGTAATCATTTGAAAGTCTTTTAGAAAGGTGCCATTGTTGCATGTATAGATAGCAGGAATCTGGAGTCAGATAGACATGCGGAAACATTCCTGATAAAAAGAATAACCTACAAAGGCAGAGAGGAGAGGCCAAGCTCAGCATACTTAATATGACAGTGAAGGGATGGACTGGCAAGAGCAGGCACTGCATACTGGCAACTGGTCGGACTAGAGGGTCTTAGGTCAGCCAGAGCTGTTCTCTAGTAATGTAATAGAAAACACAGACACTTGTAGGCTTTGAGTTGGAGTGTAATGGAAGCAGTGGTTGGAGTATCCTGGTCTGGAGCAAAGTGGATGAAAAGAGACTGATGACAGAGTTTGTTTGCCATAAAACTGTGGATGCCATAATGCTATGGGGGAGGGAGAGGAAGGAAACAAATCAGTGGAGAAGTCACTGGAACTTAAGAAATGAATATGAAAGAATGAACAAAATTTATTAACGAGGGCAGATAGGAAAATGGTAATGCCACTGCCACAGAAGCTATAACATGAAATGCAGTTTTGGGGAGAGATCTTGACTTCAGGCTTTTGACATGTAAATTGTGGAGTGATGAAGGGACATTCAGATAGAAATCTCAAGCAGGCAATTGGAGATAGGAGATTCAGACTTGGCTCAGGTGGACCAGATTCTCGCATGAACATAAAAGTGATGGCTGCAGATCTAGAGAGGGTGAGAATAAAATCAAAACCAGGGCCAGGGAAGAAAAAGTCCAGCAAAAGAAATGGAGGCTGTAGTCAGAGAAATAGGAGGCAAGCTCTGCAGGTGGTAACACCCCAGAAACAAGGGAGAGAAGTGAAGGAGCATAGGCAGCAAAGGGTTGAGAAGTAGAGGGTGGTGTGTGGAGCCCGTGCATTAGAGGCTTTTGACCTCTGTCTTCATGCAGTAGAAGTTGATGGTGTGCATTAGCTGGGAGGGGTGATGGCAGGGCCCTGCTCTAAGCTGTGAGCCATGTAGCCTCCCCGATGCTCGGGGACAGCCCCGTGCACTGTCAGGCCCTCGTCCTGAGCCTTCCCACAGATTCCCCTGCCACGAGCCAGGACGTATGAAATGCCTGCTCTCTTTTGCTCTCCACCTGATGCCCTTGCCCACCCAGGACTCCAATAGAGAGGGAGGGCAGGAGCTCACGGTTGATAACGGCCTCATGAGTTATAAGAAATGAGAGCTTACTGTAGCTGGGGCAGGAGGAAACTGGTCTCAGAATACATGTTAAAGAGTGAATAGATTTAGGAAGGTGTGAAAAGGAGGAATACAAGACGGCTAGGGAAAAGAGTCTCAATGCAGACTTCGCTCGTTCCGTATTAGCAACATTCTTGGCAGGGAAGGAGGGAAGGTGCAGCCTAAACAGAAATGCCCATTGCCACTTATATGTATTTATACAGTCATTTGTTTTAGTTTTTCTTTTGGTTGACTAATAATTCAGAAATATTAAAATCGTTCACAAAAATGCTTAAAAGGTAAGAACAATGATAAAAACAAAGTCCCATGAATTAAAAGTTAAGAGTTTAAAAAAATGAAGATGGAAAACTAATGAAATCAGAATGGGGCTAGAAAAATACATGTGACCCGGTATTACCACACTGCTTCTATGGCACTGCTGCCTCATGAGGGAATCCTGACACTGCATATCCGGTGGTCCTAAGAAATGAACCTCCCTTCCACACTCCCTCTCCCCCTTCCCTTCACAAATGTTTATTCTGCTAGTCACTGGCACAGGTGCTGGGAATACAAAGCAAGCCACACATGGCTACTACCCTTGTAAATCGCATAGTCTAAGGTCACTCATAACCAATAGTCAGCAGGTTCCCTTGCCATCCCACTGTACCTCCTTCTCACACACAGACACTGGAGGTATGGAAGAGTAACATGGTACCTTTCCCAGGTCTGCTTAGTGAGTTATCCAGAGTGACAACTTTGCCTGTGGCATCAGCTGACTAGCAGTATGGCAGAGTGAAATTTCAGCATGTTGTATCAGAGGGTGAGAAGTGTAGTCAGAAGTCCTCACTCATTGTCCCTTAGCAATCATTTACAAGATATATGTCTTAACTTCCACGGGCCTCCACTTCCTCCTCCGTAGGATCAAGATGATCATTCCTGTGCTACCTGCTTCACAGAGGTGTGTGGGGATTAAGCAACATGGTGGATGATATTTCTTCAGTTAGTCTGAGACATGATATACACACACAAACTCCAAACAACTACAGAAAGCAAAAGCAGGATGCTCTTTGATGTTTACTAATCAGTCTACAAGACATCAGAATTCACTTCTCACCCAGCGTTGAGGCCTTCATGTAGACCTTAACTCTAGTATAGTTTCCTGCGGGTATCCAGTGGGGCTTCCTTGCCTGGAGGCCAGACCTCATCTGAATACCTCAAGCCAGCTAGAGGTCAGAGGGATGCATGCAGCTGTGACTTTCTTCCCAGTTTCAGTCTCCTGCATATTCAACACATTGTTCAGACCCTCTGTAGAGCGATATTCTGGCCCATAGCCCTGGCCACGCTGTCTGTGCCACCCAGAATGTCTTATACAGCAACTGCTCTGTGGGACCAGCTGGGAGTGAGAGCATGGGAAAGTCCACTCTGGAACGGCATGAAGCCCTCTTCCTAAACATGTACACTGTCTAATTTTCACTTGGTTATTGGCCAGCTTAAAAGGATGACCAGCTTGCCATTTAGCCTTTGATGTGAAACGGCTGGGATAATGTTTCCTTTGGCCATTTATCTATGTAGCAAGGAGGAACCTGAAACCAGCACAGCCTGCCCCCGTTCCTGCTGCAGTATGCACACCTCTTAATGGTTTCACGGTCTTTT